CATACTCAAGTAAGAGTATAAAGACAAATTCCCAAGTTTGACAGATGGATTTTGGCTGACCTTCTATTTAAGATTATAGGTACAACTATCCAATTCCACAAATATAAGTAACAGCAAATTTTGTTATTTATTTTTTCACAATGATCTTGCCTCCAAAGAACATTTAAAATGTCAAGATTAAATTTTAATTAAAGAAGGCCTGTACTTCATCTAAACCCCAAAGATCCATGGTTTGAAATAAATTAATTTTATAATATATACCCTGACTCACATACACAAAAATTTTAATATAATTTTTAAACTGTTTTTAATTGTACCAACTGTTCGGTATACCACTGCTAAAGCTATTATGGCTATGTTTGTGACCGGTCAACATACTTGCTATTGACATGTTTTTAATAAAATAGTTAATTTGGTCCTATTTTAAACAGGAGACAGACCAGACTCTTAACTAATGCATATTATTGCCCATAAAGGGGAACTAAAAGATTGTACATAAATCACCATACTTTGGATCATTATCACTATCAGCAAGATAATTTTACCTTCCAATCGTGCATCACTGAGCCAGATGCCTCGTATACATTATTTCACTTAATCCATTTTTAACTTAATGTAGAAAATTATGATGGTTAAGAATATCAATTATAGCATTTGATGGCCTGGGTTGCAATTCTGGCTCTTATTCAATTACTTACTAGCTGTGTCACCTTGGGCAAGTTTATGAATCTCTCTAAGCCTCAGTTTCTCATCATAAAGTGATATTATAATATCTACTTTATATGGTTGTGGTGAAGAATTAAATTTATACAAAGTGCTTAGCACAATGTTTAGTGTATAGTAATTACTCAGTAAGTGTTAACTATTACTGTTTTGTTGTTTTTAGTATTTTTATCATTATCCCTACTTTACAGATGAAGTATGTAAGGATTAAAGCAGCTAAAAAACTTGTCCGGGATCTTACCCTAGATCTATTGGATTCCAAAGCTCAAAGCTCCTTCTACCTACTATGCAGATTCTCATTTAACTAACAGTATCTTTAATGGTTCTTGGTATTGATAAATGTGGATATGGCTGGTAAAAACTTTATACGCAGGTAAAATAAATGTGGATAGTTCTTTAAAAACAAACAAAAAAACCTGGACACCAATGTTCACTGCAGCACTACTCACAATAGCCAAAACATGGAAACAAAAGAAATGTCCATCAACAGATAAATGGATAAACAAAATCTGGTATATACATACAATGGAATATTACTCAGTCATAAAGAGAAATGAAGTTCTGATACACGCCACAATAAGAAAAAACCTTGAAAACATTATGCTGAGTGAAATAAGTCAATCACAGAAGGACAAGTACCATATGAATTCATTTATATGAAATAGGCAAGGTATAGAAGCCAAAGTTTATTCGTGGTAACCAGGGGTGGGAAGAAGGGGGAAGGGTGAGTTTTTCTTAACCAAAAACCAAAACCGTTGCCATTGAGTCAATCCTGACTCATAGCGACCTTACAGGACAAAGTAGAACTGCCCCACAGGGTTTCCAAGGAGCAGCTGGTGGATTTGAACTACTGACTTTTTGGTTAACAGTTGTAGCTCTTAACCACTGCACCACCAGGGCTCCGAGTTTTTGTTTAGGGATGAGGACTTACTGCCATGGAGTCGGTTCCGACTCATAGCAACCCTACAGGACAGAGTTGAACTGCCCCATAGGGTTCCTAAGGCTATAAATCTTTATAGAAGCAGACTACCACATCTTTCTCCTGCAGAGCAGCTGATGGATTTGAACCACTGATCATTTGGCTAGCAGCCAAGCGCTTAACCACTGCACAACCAGGGCTCCTTCAAGGGGCACTTGGTTTCTGTTAATGGTGGTGAAATAATTCAAAAAAGGATAGTGATAATGGCTACACAACATGAAGAATACAATCAATGTCACTTAATAATACTTGTAAAAATGGTTGAACTGGCAAATGTTTTGTTGTATATATTTTTACCACAAGGAAAATAAATAAACAAAAAAACACATGTTCTTGCTTGCCAATCTGGGTCAATGTCCCTGAGAGTTGTCCCTATGAGCTGGTCAGGATGAGAAGAAAGAATGAGTTCACGGCCCTCATCCTTTTGACTAAAAACATGCTTCTTGGGGCAGCTTAGACATACCTCCTTTTCACTGACCTTTGTAGCCTCACTTCTGTGGATATGTAAAATAATTCTTATACCATATGTAACCTCATTTCAGGTATACTTTCACTTACTCATATGGCTTGATGGTTAGGAGGATTAAGTGCGGTTGAAAAAGGAGAAGTCTTAAGGTAAGTTAATATTCCAATTTCTACTCCTTATCACTGGCATTTCCACAGGTTGTACTAGCTTTTTATCCTTTCCTATCTGTATAAAGGGCTAAAATTTAAAAGAATGCCAAGGAAGCAGAAATAATTTTTAAAAACTCTAACAATAGCTGACTCACACTGTCACACATAGGTTAGCTAGTATGGTCCAATGAAATAGTAAACTCTAGATTTCTACATTTTATGTGTTTTTCTACATTATGGGTTGATTCAAAATGGAATAATAACACTCACCACCACTACCATCTCCATTTACTGAACGTTTACTTATGTGCCAGATGCAGTACTAAGCACTTTTCATGTTATCACATTTAATCCTCCTGTAAATAACTTGTCCGATTTTACCCAGTTAAAACAGTCAGGATTTGAAATCAGGTCTAACTGCACAGATAATACTGTCTATTATTTTTTTAAGGCCTTATAAGATAGCTGACTTTTATAAATTTTTATCTTTTGTCATTTATTAGATTCATAAACTATCAAAACTGATACAAGGATTTGTAATCCTCTGTTAGGTGAAATGTGTGTTGCTAACGTAAGCTTTTGCCTCAAACCAGGATAGTTTGAGGTACTTTTCTTCTTAAAAGTTAGGCAGATGCTAAAGAAAGGCATGGACTGCTTGTTACAAATCTAATCTCATGGGCTTTATTCAAATTCATAATGGTCATTGAAACAACGCCATTGCCTTTCCAAAGTTAAGATGGTGATGAAAGCAACAGTATCTTGTTTGATTTACTGAGAGCTCAGCTGCCAAATTAATAAGTACATGACCGATAAATAGATTAATTGCTGTCAGGAAAGATTCCCTGTCAATAAAAATTTCAAAATGCAAACAATATCTGCAGGATAAGTGACTTTGGCTCTTGCTAGTTGTGATCTTGATCGTGGACAAGTAACTCTCTCAGGCTCAGTTTCTCATCCATAAAATGTTGATGATAATACCTGCAGGACCTATGTCACAGGTGTGCTAGGGGCATAAAATAATATATGTGTAAGTGCTTTTAAAACCTGTCAAGTACTATATAAAAAATATAACAATGATAAAATAATTTTAAAAATGGAAATAAAGGTTGGACTTCTGTGTCCTGTTAACTTGCAGTTGTCCAGCTATGAACAGCAGAATTTTCATTCTCCAGGTTTATATTTTAGAGTAGCCAAGGAGCGCAAAGAAAGAATGAAGTTAGGTGGAAGAGTGAGAGAGCACTGCCACCATTGCTGTCAGCTAAACTCATTTTTCTAGGTAAGTCTGAAGCTTAAAAAATATTGTGAAATTATTGGTAGGTCAATAAAAGTGACCTACATACCTGCTGTAGGTCAAATAGATCATATTTTTTGTGGGGAAAAATTACTGGGTATTATTTGGTAGCTAACCTCAAAGATGATTGCTTCCAGAGGGCAGGCAAAAGGTCTCTGAGGATCTCTTTGTATGGCACCATAAATACCTAGATACTTTTTAAGAAAGTTTAAAAGAAACTTTCCAAACCAATCAATCAACCACATATTCCAAAGAATTGTGGACTAAGGAGCACAGCCATAAAAGTAGAGGTCACATTCTGTGTCCAAAGGATTGAGGTTCTAGTTTCTACAAAACTGCAGGTCACATATCAGTTTCTCTAGCAGGTTTATATGAAAGCCTGGTTTATTTACACTGTAAAATATTTGTGCTATATGGATTCATTTTCTGCCCACCCACCAGGCTTCCAGATCAGCCTAGATACTCAGAAACTTGACCCAATCTTATTGAGGCAGAAAATGGAAGGAGTAAGACGTGCTACAGAAACTACTGTAGACAACCATAACCTTAAAACCAAAAAACCAAACCCGTTGCCGTCGAGTCGATTCCGACTCATGGCGACCCTATAAGGCAGAGTAGAACTGCCCCATAGAGTTTCCAAGGAGCGCCTGGTGGGTTCGAACTGCTGACCTTTTGGTTAGCAGCCATAGCATTTAACCACTACACTACCAGGGTTTCTACCATAACCTTAAATACTTGCAAAAATGGCTCACCAAAAAGAAAAACTAGTCAGTACTACCTTGCTAGGAGCTCTGATGTGCAGTGGTTAAGAGCTACAGCTGCAAACCAAAAGGTCAGCAGTTCAAATCCACCAGCCACTCCTTGGAAACCCTACGGGGCAGTTCTACTCCATCCTATAGGGTCACTATGAGTCAGAATCGACTGGATGGCAATGGGTTTTTTTTAGTACTTTGCTAGCCTCTTAAAATAGTGCCAGAGTTTTGCACGCTTTTAGAAAAATGGATGCCGTTTTTTTCAGGTATCTAATACTTGGGTACAAAACATTATCTCGTGGACTTGATAATTAAAAAAATATTATTCACAGTTTAAGATGGTATTTTTTAAAAAACTGCCAGAGATTAGTATGGTTAGCAGAGGTGTATAGTCTGTGATTAGGTTCCTCTTAGGGTATGAATTTTGAACATTTTCCAGTGTACAGGGGAGGGAAGATACTTGATTACAAGTTTATAGGTTTTAGAATTATAATTAAATTTTGTAACCTCATCACAAACATATTTCCAGTAAAGTTATGGGTAATTTACACCCAAAATACAGATATAATTGCTGGCTTTGTTTACCTGTATTTTTCAATAGGACTTTGCTCAGATAGTGCTGAAAATGAAAACTGCTTACTTTTTCATGCTTGTGTTTCTCCTTTTCTTTTTCTTTCTTCTCTCTCTCTCTTTTCTCTTTTTCCCTTTCCTTCTCTTTCTTCTCCTTTTCCTTCTCTTTCTCTTTCTTTTTCTTCTTCTCCTTTTTGTCTTTTTTCCTTTCTTTCTCCTTAGGTTTCTCTTTTTCTTCAAACAATTTTTCAGGAAGCATTGGCGACAAAGAAGGTAACATTGACGGGATCCTCACTGCAGCAGCAGGGCTGAATAAGGGCAAAGCCATTTCTTTCGGAGGCAATACTAAAGGAGCTGGTGGAGCTTTCATCTTATCTTCTCTACCTTTATCTTTAGCTTTTTCTTTTTCTCTCTTCTCTTTATCTTTTTTGCCTTTTTCTCTGTCTTTCTTTTTATCTTTATGCTTCTCTTTTTCTTTTCTCACAATTCCATCTTTCAATCTCACTTTTGGATCCACATCTTCAAACTCTTTTATTTTAAATTTATAGGGATCTGAATCTTCATCTTTAAGAAATTCCTTCCATGGATACTTTGTTTCCTTGCTGGTTTCCTTCTCTTTCTCTTTCACTTTATCCTTCTCTTTACTTTTTTCCTTGCTTTTGTCTTTTTCCCTCTCCTTATCTCTCTGCTTTTCTTTCTTTTTCATTTTAGTTTTCAGTTCTTTTTTCAACTTCTTCTTTACTTCTATTGATGAAGGCAGTTTGGTTTTCTCCTCATACACCTTGTGAAGAGGTTCAGGGGTGGGAGGAGAAACTGAGGGAGAAGAGAAATACGGAAAATTGGGAGGTATATTTGAAGGTGTTCCCATTTTTGCTTTACGTACAACCTCATCAATTGAGGCATCCATTGTCCATGAATTATCAGAACTTGAAGTTCCACCTGAAAGAGGCAAAGGAGTGGATCCTGACTTGGTGAAATTGTTTGAGGAAGTGGAAGCTTTTGGAGTAGTACACTCTGGACCTGAAATTCTCTTAGGGCTTGTAAAAATGTCTCCTTCAGATTCTGATCCAGAAGAAAATTCAAAAGGATCTGGCTCTCGTTCAGCACAAGCTCGTGCAATCACAGCATCAATAGAGTCATCAATTGTTTTATCTGTTACAACAGCCTTTTTTGGCTGATTTTCATTGTTCAGTTTCCCAGCATCAGGGGGCGTTTGTGTTTGTTTTACCTGGATAATCTCTTTATTGATTTTTTCACTAATTGTAGTTGAAGGAGTCCTATTTGGTGTTTCAGGTTTGATAGGTGCTTGGGAAATGTGAGTCGTTACTTTGGGACTCTTGGGGCTTTTGGGGCTCTTAGAACGTCCAGGTGATTTCTTTTCTTTGGATATAGTTTTAGGTGACCGAATAGGACTTCCCATCATTGCTGGTGACTGAGTAGTTTTAGGTGACTTAGTCTTCTGTCCTGGAGAAGTAGTTTTAGTCTTTGCTTTAGCTGTAAATGACTTTGTTTCTAATGGTTTTGCAGTTGGTATTTGTGACTTTGCAACTGGAGCCAACATAGGTGGCTCTGGAGATGGAGGTGCTAGGTCTGTATTGTCCTGTACATGGACTGGAGAAAGCATTGGTGGAATCTTTTGAGTATTTATTGAGCTGAGTGGCTCTCGAGCTTCCAGTAACACTACATCTAGGGTATCCCCCTTAGTACTTAATAGTCGTGGTCGCTTCATGGCAGGCATTTCTTCAGCTTCAGGGCTATCCAACGGTCTCTTACCCAAGAAATTCTCATCATTAATAATTTCCTCCTCCTCCAATTCATCATCTTCTTCCAAGGGAACCTGCATGGCTTCTGCTGATGTGCCCCCATCTGTAGGCACCTGTTCTTCTTCTTCCTCTGTTAATGGAAGAGAAAAGAAGTATTATTGGAATAGAACAAAACTTCATAAACAAAAACAATGCTTTACACAAGATTTCTAACAAAGAAAGGTAATTACTGACAGTGTTTAAAGGGTAAATCAGGCAGGGTGCAAGATCAACACATAAAAATCAATTGGATTCTTCTACACTAACAAAGAGAACTCTGAAAAGGAAATCAGGAAAACAATACAATTTATAATATCCCCCCAAAGATAAAATACTTAGGAATAAACCTAACCAGGGATGTAAAAGACTTCATACAAAGAAAACTAGAAAACACTACAGCAATAAACCAAAAGAGATCTACATAAATGGAAAAACATACCATGATCATGAACAGGAATACTTAACATAGTGAAAACATCAATACCACCCAAAGCAATCTATAGATATAATGCAATCCCGATCTAAATCCCATCAGCATTCTTTAATAAGATGGAAAAACTAATTACCAATTTTATAGGGAAAGAAAAGATGCCCCGGAAAAGCAAAGCACTACTGAAGAGAACAAAGTAGAAAGCCTCACATTTCCTAATCTCAGAATCTACTATCTAGCCATGGTAGTCAGAACAACCTGGTACTGGTACAATGACAGACACATAGAGCAATGGAACAGAATAGAGAACAAGAAGTAAATCCATCCACCTATGGACAGTTGATATTTGACAAAGGGCTGAAATCCATTAAATGAGGAAGAGATAGTTTGTTTAATAAATGGTGCTGGCAAAACTGGATATCCATTTGCATAAAAATGAAACAGGATCCATACTTCATACCATACACAAAAATCAACTCAAGATGGATCAAAGATCTAAATCTAAAACCTAAAACTATAAAAATCATGGAAGAAAAAAATACGGGCAAACCTAGTGGCCCTAATTTATGGCATAAATAGACTATCAAACATAACTAAAAATGCATAAACAGCAGAAGATAAACTAGATGACTGGGACCTCGTAAAAATTAAACACTTATGTGCATTAAAAGACTTCTCCAAAAGAGTAAAAAGAGAACCTACAGACTGGTAAAAAGTTTTTGGCAACGACATACTGACAAGGGATTAATCTCTAAAATTTATGGAAAAACTGCAACACCTCAACAACAAAAAGACAAACAACCCAATTAAAAAATGGGCAAAGGACATGAACAGACACTTTACCAAAGAAGACATTCAGGTAGCCAACAAATACATGAAGAGTTGCTCACGATCATTAGAGATCATTAGACGATGCAAATCAAAACAATGAGATGTCACCCCACCCCGGCAATAATGGCAATGATCAAAAAAACAAAAAGCAACAAATAGTGGTGAGGGTGTGGGGAGACTGGAACTCTCATACACTGCTGGTGGGAATGAAAAATGTTACAACCACTGTGGAGAACTATATGGTGCTTCCTTAAAAGGTTAGAAATAGAAATACCATATGACTCAGCAATCCCACTACTAGGTATACATCCTAGAGAAATAAGCACTGTAACATGAAAAGATACATGCACGCCCATGTTCACTACAGCATTATTCACAATAACAAAAAGATGGAAACAATCTAAGTGCCCATCAACAGATGAATGGATAAACAAACTATGGTACATACACACAATGGAATACTATGTTAAAGAATAATGATGAGTCCACGAAACACCTCACAACATGGATGAACCTGAAACACATGACGTTGAGTGAAATAAGTCAATCACAAATATTGTATGAGATCACTATTATAAAAAAATCAAGAAAAGGTTTACACACAGAAAGAAACATTCTTTGATGGTTACCAGGGATAGGAGGGGGAGGGAGGGGAAATCACTAACTAGATAGTAGATATGTATTAACTTGGGTGAAGGGAAAGACAGTACACAATATGGGGGAGGTCAGCACAACGTGATCAAGGCAAAGGGAGACACAAAGAGGTATGCAAGAGTAAAAGGCAACAACAGTAAATACTGTTACATACATAATCCTGTAATAACAGTAATAACAAACAATAAATTACGAGTGGATACATACGTAGATATGTAAGCTGAAAAGGTGTGGGATGGCGTATGTGAGTGCACCCATGAGCATATATAGGTTTGGCAGAGGACAAGTCTACATAGATATTTGTATGTGCTGCAAATATATCCATGTATATAGCAGAGCACATAGTGGGCACAGTTATGAAAACTTCCTAGCCATAACCAAACATCTCAAAGGACACAGTCATTGGGCTTGAGGGCTTAGGATAATAATCTTGGAGAACATCTAGGTCAATTGCCTAAATGTAACATAACATAGTCCATAAAGACAATGTTTTACATTCTACTTTGGTGAGTAGCAACTGGAATCTTAAAAGCTTGTGAGTGGCATCTAAGATACAACCATTGATCTCTTCTTGTGCAGAGCGAAGAGTGAAGAAAATCAAAGTCTCAAGGAAACAAGTCCAAAGGACTAATGGACCACACAAACCACAGCCTCCACTAGCCTGAGATCAGAAAAACTAGATGGTGCCTGGCTACCAACACCAACCACTCTGATTGGGATCACAGTAGAAGGTCCTGGACGGAGTGGGAGAAAAATGTAGAACAAAACTCAAATTCATAAAAAAGACCAGACTTACTGGTCTGATAGAGACAGATAGAACCCCCGAGATTATCGCCCTTAGACAGCCTTCAAACTTGGAACTGAACTCACCCCTGGAGATCATCTTTCAGACAAACAACAGACAGACCTATAAAGTGAACAATAACACCCATGAAGAAGGTGCTCCTCAGAACAATCAACCACACCAGCCCAAACGGGCAGTATGTGCCCAAAAACAAAGTTCAGAAGGCAGGAAAGGGCAGGAAAGATGGGTGAATAGAAACAGGGAACTCAGGGAGGAAGTGGGTAGACTATCATTGCATTGAGGGGATTGCAACTAATGTCATGAAACAAAATGTGTATAAACTGTTGAATGGGAAAAAAATTTGCTCTGTAAACTTTCACCCAAACCACAATATAAAATGTTCAAACTAAATAAATAAAATAAAATATACCAGTCTAATATACAGGGGGAAAACAAAAAATGAGTAAAGCAGTTTAAGTTTTCTAGGGTCTTCCAAAATTGTATGCCATCAATTCTTTTAAGAGTGGAAATCAGTGACAGCAGATGCACAAACTGATTATTTTCATCTCAAGTGGTCTGGTCCTACCTTCAGGATCTGGAGTTTGCTAAGTATTGCTGGTTTGTCTTCTCCTGCTTCCTTGATTAATTTTTTTCTTAACCTGAGGTAAATACTTTCTCTACCTCCCTGCCCTACCATCCCTCAAAACCTCTGGAGATGGGTTATTATATGATTACTGTCCTCAAAAATGATAGAAAGGCACGTATTTTTTTAGGATGTTTGTAACAAAATTTTACTTCTTGGAGTTTGGAAAATACAGGTCCCCAACCTGGACCCAATTCACGTACTACTATGTTTTCTATTTTGCTTGCTTGATGTCAGCCACTCTGAGAAGCAGTATGGTTCAATGGAATACATATTGGTTTAAGCATTAGAAAAATAGTATTTTAGTTAGAGTTCTGGTACTATGAACAATAGGCCCTGGGCAATCTCTTAAGCTCTTTGAGACTGTTTCCTGACCTTTTAAAAGGAACTAATGTCACTTGCCCTGCCTATATGACTGAGTTGTTGTAAAATCAGATTATTTCATTCTACACATACTAATTAAGCATATACCATGCGTAATGCACAACGATAGAGGCTGAAAGAGCTACTGGAATAAATCAGAAATCAATCATGACCTAAAAAGGTTACAGTTCAGCAGGGGAAATAATATCTGCATATAGCACATAGAAAGTGATGAGTGTCATACCGTAGATAAAGTGTTAACAGCAGTTCAAAGGAGAAACAGGTTACTGCCAATGTCAAGAGTCTGGAGGAAGACTTCACTAATTATGTGGCATTTGGGACATTTGAAGATTGAGAGTGGTGAAATGCAGGATGAAGGAAAAGATGACAAAGAGATGGGGATGGAACACAGGAAGTGTTTAAGAACTAGAGAATCACTTAATTTAGCTGGAAAGTAGGGTGCAAGATGGGCAGTAGTAGAAAGAAAGTTTAGTAAAAAAAGTTGCATCCAGATACTAGATGCAAGTTTTCAATTCCAGGAAAAGGAACATGGTCTTTATGCTACTGGTAGTTTAGATACAGTGAAGAGTTTTAGACAAGGGGGAAAAGTGTCTGAGGTATGTGTTAGGAAAATTATTCTGGCAGGAACATATATGATAGAGGGGAAGTAACAGATACTAAAGGAGAGGAGACAAGTTAGGGGTTACTAAAATGATGTAGATAAGAGGCAATAAAGATCTGAACTAAAACAGTGGTAATAAATAAGCAGTAGATGTAAATGATACTTTGAAAACAGAATGGGTAGAACCTGATAAACAATTGAGTTTAAGAGTCAAAGAAGAACTCAAACACAATTTCAAGGCTTTGAGCCCTAGTGAGTGATAAATGCAGCTAACAGAAACAGGAAATAAAAAAAATAGAGATGAAAGATGATTCATTAGCTGAACTCCTAGACGGTAATATCTAGCAGGCTGTTAAAATATGAAGACAGGTCAGGGTGAGAGACATATCTTTGTTGAGATAATGGAAATCACAATAATGGATATGAAAAACAAACAAACAAATGAAAAAACAAACCCATTGCCGTTGAACTGCCCCATAGGCTTTCCAAGGAGCAGCTGGTGGATTCTAACTGCTGACCTTTTGGTCAGTGCCTGAGCTCTTAACCACCGTGCCACCAGGGCTCCAATGAATATTAGCAAGGGGAAAATAAGAGATGGTCAGGGACAGCTATTCGAAGAATACCGATATATAAGAGACGAAGAAGAGAAGCTAAAGAAATGCATGGAGGATCAGGAGACACCAAAAAGATCAAGGGAGTAAGAATTTTAAAGAGGAAACTTGGTGAACAAAATCAAACGCTTAAAAGGTTCAAGGAAAATGAAG